AAAAAAAAAAAAAATAGCTGGATGAAACAGATGGACAACAGAGAGAAACTAACAAATTTCAAACACAGACCCATATGTAATATGTAAATAAGTATCTAAATGAATAGCAAATTTAATAAAGGTTTAATATTGTTAAGAAAAATTAGCTCATATTAGATTTTTATTCCAGATATAACTATAAATCTATTATAATATGGTGTTGCTCTTTTATCCATAACAGGGCACTGACATGATAATGAACATTAAAGTGTTGACATATAGATATTTATGATTAAACTGAAAGACTTTAGGGTATAGTAGAGAAACGGGAGAAAGTAGAATCTTTAAACTAACTTCCAGCAAGGATACACTGGTGTTTGTCTGCTAATAAGGTCATGTCCTGTTGTTAGTTGCTGTCTAAACAATTCCAACCCAGGACAAACCATAGAGCTTTTATGGTTATGATATTTTGGAAGCAGCTGGACAGATCCATCACCCAAGGCGCCTTCTGCTAGGAACCCAATTTCAATCGTCTAGCTGCATTGTAACCATTTGCACCAGTAGAAACTCCAATAGACGCCATGTTACTCTTGGGGGGTTGCACCAAATCAAATTTGACCTGTAGCAGCCTCTTGTGCCCGCATAGAACTTTGTCTCCATTGAGTTTTCATGGCAGTGATCTTGACAGGAGTCACTTGCTTGGTTGTTCTTCCTGGGAGTCACCAGCCTTCTCCTTGCAGATGTGTGTTCAACCACTGTACCATCAGTGGCCTATAAAGGTCACAAGAAACGAAAAAGCAGAGTAAAAGCAGAGTAGAAAAAGCAATTTTACCTTATCTTTATGTATACAAAAATATTGAAGAATAGCATCACTGAAACAAAACCAAACAAATGAAAAAAAAAACCCAGAACTATTAAAATTATAGACAATGGTGAAACCCAAAGGCTACAGGTCTTAGACACCCTTCAAACATGAAATTGACCAGACAATGGACAGAACTATAAAGAATGTGCTTCTCAGAATAATCAACCATATGAGATGAAAAGGGCATCAATTGGCACAAAATAAAGTTCATAATGCAGATAGACACAGGAGAGATCGGCAAATGAAAATGAAGAATGTTAATACATTGAAGAAGTTGTAGCTAATATCAAGAAACAGCATATGTATATATTACTGAATGGGAAACTAATTTGCTTCGTAAACTCTCACCTCATAAAACAGTTACATATATGAATCATGTAAATACAAATGCAAAATAATTTTCTCTTGGTTAAAATAAATGGTCAATTTGAATTGTTAAAATAAGAGCGAGGATGCATCAATGGTAGAAGCTTGAAACCTTACTTTGCACTAAGGCAATCCTATTGAGAGTGTCATCAATTGAGCCAATGGTATAAAATTTAAATACAATCAAGAAAAGAAAAAATATAAAATAGGCCAGCTAGAAACTGTAATACATGTTATTTCTTTTTTCTATTAGAATAACTTTATTGTTTTATACTCATTCTCTCCCACTTCCTCTTCCAGTGTAACCCCAACTTTCTGAAAATATTCTTGTTAGGCAAAAACAGCTAGAACTGTAGATTTGAGCATAACTGCTTTTATATTTTACTTTTATTTTTTTTCTCCTGGTGCACAGACCCACACACATTCATGCTGCCATAGCAACAGAATTCCAACACCCACACCCAAGTCACAAACAAGTCTTCAGTCTCTTGGTCTCTCCTCTTTACACATCCATTTTGTCCTTTCTTTTTCACTAATTTTTTTTCTTTATTTATTTTTTCTTCTTCTACTTCTCTCTTTTTCTTCAATCATTTTTCTCCCTCTTTCTTCATTAATCATACTTCTTTATATATAAATTGGTCTGAAACTTTACTTACACTTTTCCCCCCTCCATTTATTATCTCTATGGTTCTCTTTTTCCTCATAAAATCTATTTCCATAAAACCTATTAAATTTCATTCTGCATTTTGAGATACATTTTCCATTATTTTTACAAATATACTATCCTCTCCGGGTGGTTAATTATATTTACTGTCACAGCTTTCATTTTATTCTCTCTTCTTCACCTCCTTCCACTTTCCCCACTTACTCATCTCTGACCCTTTGTCCCATTACACCGCCATATGTTTTCTGATTCCCAATTGGACTTTCCCACATCTCAAGCCAGAGCCAACTACCCTTACATGAACCAGCAGCTCACACACAACTAAGAACTCTACCATGATGCTGAGGAAAAAGCATTCAACCATAATAATGCCCCATAAAGAAGAAAACAAATATAAATAACAAATAAATCAACCAAGTGCAAAGTAGCATTAAAAAAAAAAGAGGTCCTTGAACTACCAGAAACATAATTCAGAAGAATGAAGTTGATGTTCCTCCAAGAGATGTGGGGGATACTCATGATAATGTTGGCAGAAACAGAAAAACAGAAATCTTTAAGCCAAAGGAATCCCAGAAGATAATAATATGATAACATAATTAGGCAACATAGTAAAGGGCCTGAGGAATAGAATAGAAAAAGGAGAGTTGAATCAGTGAGGGAGAAGACAATATCTCTGGCTACAATCAAGTAGCTAAAAATCAGCAAAAATGAAATTTAAAGAAAATTAAAAACAAAGGCATCAGAAGAAGTTCAAGAATAATGTGGGACACTCTCATGAGAAACAACCTCCATCTCATCAAGCTCCTAGAGCAAAAAGAAACAAAAACTTCTGCAGAGAAAACAGTGTGAGAAATTAAAGAAGAAAATTTCTCCATTAAAAGAAGAAAATAACTATTACAGAAGCTGAGACCTGAAATAGGATACAACTCTGATGCAAAACATCACAGCACATCACATTCAAACTCTCCAATGAAAAGGAAAAGGAGAGAATCCTGAAGGCTTGCAGAGCAAACAACCGTTACCCACAAAGGAGTCAGGGTGGTAAAAAAGAGGAATCCTTTTGATAAGACAGATTGACACAATGTTTGCCAGGACGGCTCCCCGTGGAGCATGGGTGACCATGATGCTGCCACAGGACTAAGGGAAGTTTCCTTCTGGGGTACATAGATTCTCTACGAGTCAAAACTGCCTTGATATTTCCTAACCAGTAGACACTTGTGCTGCTATATTAAATAAAATAATCTAGTAAATCATTTAGTGCACTGCTAGATGCATAGTAAATCATCAATAAATGTAAGTAATTAAGTCTTTTTATTTATTTATTTTTCTTCTTTTTTTAAATTTCCTATTATGTTTTGTTTTTTTTTAACATTTTGTTAGGGGCTCATACAACTGTTATCGCAATCCATACACACATCAATTGTGTAAAGCGCATTTGTACATCATTCTCAAAACATTTTCTCTCCACTTAA